ATTTATATTAGGGCTTAAACTTAGTAGGCTTTAGTTGTTTGATGTATGTTCTCTTTTCACATGCTTGCTTTATCTTATCGTATTTCAATGAAAGGAAAGGGGGAGAGAGAGAGAAAGAGAGAGAGAGAGAGAGAAAGAGTCAATGACGCCAATCGTATCGATCGATATCGGACAGCTAGGTAATAAAAAACGATAATGGAACTCTATCTATTGTTCATATTTGTGTATTTAACTTTAACCGAGTTGTATATACGTATGTGTTATACTGCCCGTCTCTCTTCCATTCTCTTCTCTTCATTTCTTTATTTATCCTGCTCTATCTTTTATCCTAACATTCACTTTAAAAGTACAGAATAAAGAAGAGCAATGAGTAGTATATATACATTGAGTAAAGAAGATGCTGAATCTACTAATAAAATTGAACAACATAACTTAAATATGAAATCGATAAATGACGATCAACAACAATGGACATCAACATTCGAACAATTGTTTAATTCGTATCAACGTTATAATGAACTTCGACGAAAGGACGATGCTATCAAGTAATCATTTTCGATAAAAAAAAAAAAAAACTCTTTCTGTAGAGCATGAAATAATATGTAAGTTAAGGGCAGACACACATTCGACCTTTTTTTAGGATGTATGTTAAGAAATGAAATTCTTCTCTTCCTCCTCTTTTATGAGTGAGTTCATCACACGCATGTATGAAAGACGAGTGAGAAATGATGATAAATTGAGTTCACACTTAAACTGATCGAAGGCCATTCATTTTCGATGGTGTCCAATTTCGAGATTTGAATGTCTTCTCATAAATGTAATCTAATCCAAACTACTTGTACATTTCTTCGTCGTCTCTATATATTGAGTGAGCATCATAAACGAGACAGAGATTTGAACAACTTATTTTATTCAAATACCTTGTTTCAAGCTCAGTCATCCACATAATTTCAATCGAATAATCATTAAATTGCGCATAGACATATACATGCTAACATTAAAATATCATAAATTGTTTTATGACACGTTCTCTCATATTTGTCTCACATAAATATGATACAATGGAAAAAATTTTTGCTTGCAAATGACAAATCCATACATAGATCGAAATAGCAAAATGTTCTATACACTTGTCAATCTTTTTTCTTATGCCGATTCTGAGTAAGTATATTTCATAAGAAAAATTTAAAAAAAAAGTTTTCGATCATTAATTTTAATAAAAAAAAACATCAAACATTTTTTTTTTAAATAATTTAGAGAACGTTTTAACGACTTGCAAACAAAATTACAAGAACTTGACGTTCTTCATCCACCAACAGACGAATTTTATCGTACAACAACTCCATCATCCCGTGATAGTGGTGTTCCAATTCGATCATCATCATCGTGTTGTTCCTTAACATCAGAAAGTACAAGTACACCAAAAAGTTCTCTTGAACTTCCATTTGATCAATTAATATCTCAATCTCCACAAACAAGTGTTCTACATTTTTTTCTTCATCCACCAATTAATTATAATAATCGTCACGTTAGTGTTCATTTAAACGAAGAAACAACAGACATGTCTTATATTCATGATACTATTCCACGTCATCAATCACATGGACGTACTGTTCATTGGAATGATGAACAATCATCTCTTTCTCCTCAACGTCGTTCATGTAGTCAACATATATTTCAAACAGAAAATCAACATTATTATAAATCTGATACAAATATTATAAAAAAACATGGTCAACGAATATCACTTAATGCTAGTTTACCATATGATTCTAAACTTAACATTCGTATTCATGCTGATCGAACACGTCATGATAATAATAATGAAAATAATATAAATCAAGTTAAAACCACAGCTACTATTGAACCATTAAATGATATACAACATGAAAAAGAACATTTTGATACATTACGCAGAAATTATCTTGAACATTATTTAACAGCATCACCTAATGAAAGTTTAATAACAACAACAACAACAACAAGTTCACCAATACAAATGCGAGAATCACGACGTGATAAATTACCAAGACATCGTCAAGTTTCATTACCCGTTTCATTACCAGTTGATCAACGACTTTACTTATATATTCGAAATGGTGAAGTTCTTGCTAGATGTTAGACATTTAATACATACTTAGAGCATACCAAAACTAATGATTTTTTTTTAGCAAATAAAACCACACAAGAAAACATTAATCAAGTATTTGAATTAGTAGCCATGTTTAATCACGCATGATCAATTTGCTGAAAGTATTTTGCAAATAATCTTTGATTAAAACACTCATTATTTTTGGTTACATCATTAGAATTTGTGATTAGAGACTGTTTAATTGATGAAGTTTATAAATTAGATCAAGCACCTAAAAAATATATAGTACTTTATCTGTAGAACAATGTGAATATAAAATAATTATCACACATTCTGATGTAAGATCATAGAAGCATCTTTATGAATTTATAATTGAATGTTTTCATAATGACTTTCGATGTCTGGAGCGCTAGTCAATGATCTCTACTTTCTCATTCCATTAATAAGTAGTTTTAGTGTATTAGCGATTAGAAGTCTTCCATGTTTCTATACATACCAGTTTTTTTTTAAAGAGTATTTGACTTGTTGTTCTTAGAAAAGACACGAAACATTGTTTTTGAAACTAAGTTACTGAGTTAGACTGTCGCTGATAGAGATTGTTTAATTATAGTCTTTCTAGTTTGAAGACTCAGAACTGATTTATATGTGACATATCTAGAATTTGTCACCTACTATCACTTCATATATATTTGCTATATTTTTTTACTCAGCCATATTCAATAAGATTTGATTGATCGAAATAATTGCTAATCGATATGATGAATTTTTTAATAAAAGATTATATGAAAAATACTTTCAACAAATCGATTATGCATAACTAAACATGTCTACTAATTCAAATACTTGCTGGGACAAAAATTTGATAAAAACTTTCCTGTGGGATTTTATCTACTAAAATCATTACTTTTGATATATTCTAAGTTTATATATATATATCTAGAGAAATATCTTGAAAACAAAGAAGAAATAGAACAATATTTTTCTTTGTTTTTTTTTTTTTTGTTTTGCTAAATAATAATATTAATATTAATAAACATTTCACTCTTAGATTTGTATTGTGCCCTCGTCAATAAAACGTCCGTGTTCACAGATTTAGTTTTGCTTTTTTGATATTCTAATATCGAAAGAATTTTGTTTATGGTTTCATTGTAATATATAATTAATATTCATTTTTATAGGTATATTTGTGCATTTGAAGAATTCTCTTCTATGGTATTAAATCAAAAACAATATTTTAAAATAATTTAAAACAGATGTTTTCTTCTTGTTAACAATCAAATTGATTTCTATTGTATTTTTTGTTTACATTACAATTAGATGATTGAGTGATCATGAAGCCTACTCGTCCACTATTGAGTTTGTCATATGGTTTTCATTTGTTTGTTAGCATTACATTGAGTATGATTGAAGAATACAGCCATTGTATCGTTGGATAAAAAAATTTAATAGTAAGAGAAAACTAAGTTTTACATTAGATTGAGCAATGTCGAGGGTGTATGAAAACAATATTGTCTCAACACTTTCCTATGTTAGCATTTCAATCAACATGCATGCTGGCTTTTTTTTTTAAATGAAAATCATAAGACACTTCGGAGTAGAGAGTTGGGGATTCACATTTTTGTGGGCTCTAGCCTTATAAATGACCACGACTGATAAGTGCATTCTTCATTGAAAACCTTGTGAAGTTAGCACTAGACACATATACCCGGTGTAATAGAAGTACAAAAATAAACTGAGTTTCTTCTTCAACAGAGAAAGATTTTCGCTTGATTTCTTAGAATATTACTCTATTATATGAGCTGTAAGAAAGGATTACATTTCTGTGATAAACAGTTTAATTTTCATTGAGTTATAGCAATAATCAAATATAAAAAAATCGTTTTACACAAAAATGAGAACTGTTTTAATGCCTATTATTGATAGTTTTTCCTTCAGAAAACTTCTTCTAAACCTAAAACTAAAAAATATTCTAAAAGTACTTGATAAATTATACAACTCTAGCTGCAAAAATAATTTTAAACAAGACGGAATGAAATTAAATGAATTGATTTTCTGCTGACAGGTGACGTTAGAAGTTAAGTGTTTGACATTGTTGCTATGATTTCTCACAAACTAAAACAGATAGCAACTCATTAATTCAGAAGTGAATAATCATATTTCGGCTAGTAAAACAAGAACCAAAACTATCAAAATCGATTGAATAAAACTCTACTTATAAGAGTTTTTCTTCTTGGGTGTCAGCAGTTCAATAGTTTTGCTCTTCGCACTCATATAAGAAACTTGAAAACAAAATAAGTTCATTTCAGTTTATTCAACTAAGCCAGAATATAAACTTGATACAAGATTTTTTTTCTGAAAAAATGCAAGTACAGACATGAATGTTTGACGTTTCTATATTTCATTTTATATTTTATAAATTCACATGATATCCTGTTTATGACTTTTTCTATGAAATTATTTACATTAATGAAAATATTTAAAAAGCATTCGAAACTTAATGACGAATTTTAGAAATCTATAAAAGATTTACATGAATTTCATTCAAATGAGGTGTAGAATTTTCATACGAAAAATATAAAATCAATCACTTTATGTATACGTTTTATTTATTTGTAAATTGATTTTGAAAGTATTAGAAAAGTAAAAGCTACTGATAAAATTGATCAACAAGCATACTATGATACATTAACAAAACAAACAAATCTTATCTTCTATATCTTCTCATTGTATCTCTATAAGATAGAGAAATGATGGAGACTTTCGTTGTTCTATTTTTTTATTTGCATTCCTCCTTCTCTCATAATATATAAAAGCTATATATTTAACTTAATTTCTTTTTGTCATTCATAAGTAACTTTTGATACTTTTTATTCAACACTTCTCTTCAAAACTATTAAACGAATCCAAAATGTACAACAAATATCTTCTACTTATTGGTTTTATAACTATCATGCATATATCAACAACAAATGGTAATGCTACCTGCTTATGTTACTGTTGCACTGTTGCAGATTGTATACCAATATATCGAGGTACAGTCGACATTTTGTCGTGTGATGGATTCAGTTGTTATGATAGGTGTGAGAAGGTATTTCCATTTGCATGTGATCGCTCTAAGGCAGGTGAAGTTGATGCTCGTTGTACAGAGATAATCACAACAACCCTCACGACTTCATCAAGTTCAACAACTACATCTACTACATTAGAAACAACAACCGTCACTACTCCTACTGAAAATACAACAGCTACAGTTACTACTACCATAACTCCTACGACTGCAACGGTTACAGTATCTACTACTAATAGTCCTCAAACTTCACCATCATCAACATTTACAACTACACAAGCATCAACGCTTTCAACAACACCAACACAACCTCCAATAACTACTTCTAAAAATCATGGTGGTGCTTCTATTCTTCGAGAAAGTCCATCATTTATTGTGTTAATTGTTACATCAATTCTTCTTATTATTAAAGCCATTCTTTAAATCAATCAATTAATCAACTTGTTTTTCTAACAGATTCTTTTTTTTATACGAAAAAAAAATATTTTTTTAATCTTTAAATAGATTTTTTTTTATAAACGTGTGAATATTATTTTTCTTCTAGTGCGCATTAATATGAAGAAAAAGAAAGTAAAGAAAACTTGCTTCGAAATATTCTTATCATTATGATATGAAACATTGATGTTTGTGTGTGTCAACAAGCTATTCATATCAACTATTTTACCTGGTAGTTTTATTGAATATTAGCGTATAAAATATGAAAACAATCTTTTTTTCTGGAACTCGTGAAAATATTTACTGAAAGTTTCAAAGCAAAGTTTTCTGACTCCCTCTCCATTACAGACTTTATCTACTAGGATTAAAAGTCATTGAATACTTTTTCATAGCAACTACAAATATAATCAATTGTAGTTATTTCAGGTAGAAATAACAGATTTGCATGGCGAACCATGTTGATTGAAATTTTAAGATCACAGAGAGAAACAAGCAAAGAAAAGAGTGTAGAACAAGTTTCTGTGTTGGATTGAATGGGACAGAAAATTTTTCGTCCTATCCCATGGCACTTTACGCTCGTCAAATATCAAAAATAAATTTCTGAACAAATTTATTTTTTTCAATAATACTACCAAATTTTACATAATTTCATTCTGTATTTCATAATTTTATCATAACCAAGTTCATATTTCGGCGAGAAAGATATCTATTTCGAAATCATTGAGTAATTCTTAACAAAAGATGATGGTTGTAAAAAATAAATGTCTTATGGGATCCCAGAGGATATTTCTCAAATATGTCTTATCTCATGAGAACAGATGAGACAGGATTGTTCCATCCCCACGCGGAACCTTGATATAGAAATAAAATACTAATATTTGCACTAGCAATAGTGAGGTATGTTTTGTTTCTTATTATATTCAGTGTTTCAACATCTATCTGTAACTGTTTCAATTCGTGAAAAATATCATTATAGTTATTTATTACTTGATCCATTTTTGACTATTGTTGCATATATTGTTTTCTTCATTGTATTACAAAAACAGTGTTATTAACATTCTATTTAGTTTTATGCATTGAATGATCTATAACAATTTAATCATATCGAAAATGGTTTAAAAAATAATATTTTGATATTTTCTCACATACTAAGCAATTAAAACTTGCCTAGGTAATAAAAAACTCACAAAATTGATTTTCAATTACAGAAGGTTAGTTTAGAGAAACAAAACTATCCTTTTTTTATAAAACTTGACGAAAGACTATCGAATCGGAAAAAGCGGATCTATGGATGATTTATCGAAATTCTTGAGTTGAATTTTTCAATCAGGAGAAGTTACTCTCCTACGATTTAGGCAAGTTTTTTAAAACACCGTTATTCCCACATAAAAGAAATGATTTTCTCCGACCGAAAAATCAAATTCACAAATTAGAAGAAGTCATTTATAGGTTTGAAACTATTAATAACTATTTCATAGATATCACTAATTGTAAACAAAAATGTACACAACAATAATCCATACAATTTGCACACAATTAGAGGTTTTTGGAAAAGAAATCTATTTGAACGAAGTATTGTAAATCAGATCGTGTATTCGTCGACCACGAATATTCATTCGATGATAACTAGAATATTCAAAATCATAGAAAGATAAGTTGTAATTAATTTTTCTTAATTTCAATGTATTATAATGCAGTGTTCGACTCGGATCGGATCGAGTCACAAACATTTGACCCATGCCAGATACTGTTATGCTGTAATGCAAAAGCTATCTGAAAAAAAGATACTAAAAAATTTGTGAATGCTATCTTACATAGCAATGATTTATTTTGAACTAATCTAAAAAGTAAAGAAAAATGATTTGATCGATAGATGATATGTCACTAAGGTATGTTGTTGCTCCTCTTATTCAAAGTAGTATAAATAATTGAAGTTATAGTTATAAGTAGAAAGTAATTTGCTAGAATTCATTAAAAATATCTTGTTATTATGATAAATCGATAATGGTCTTGTCTAGAAAGAAAATCAATATTTATCCTCTTTGACGTGCATTAATACATGTGATCTTAAACATTTGAAATCAGTTTTGAATGAACTCAACATAAGTATTTAGATCGATACTAAATCTAGACATATAATAATAAGGATCATAAATAATTTTAATAAGTTACGTGATTTATTTTTATCGATTGTTTTTGATTAACATATTTGTTTATACTTTAATTTCAAAGTTTTAAATGAAGTCTTCATAACCATGTTTTATGTACTGAATTCGAACAGAACTTCTAACTATTCGTTACACAAATAACTTTTCTTTCTACTGAAAACTGATTTCTTCAAGAAACAATCATTTGACATGTCAGGTGTCACACGATACAAAATTATTATCGTATTTAATTTTTAGTACAGATACAAAATATGATAAAATCTTTGAAGATTATACTTTCAATGAATACATTAACATGATATAAGACGTGACCATAGAACTGTTATTGGAGAAATCTTGCAAATAAAAGTATTTGAAAGATCATATTTTAAACAATTGAAATTTTTCCAAATAAAATATCATCGGAAATGGTTGAAATATTGGAAGAATTAGAATTTTCAACAGTTATACATTTAGAAAGAATTTCAATAAAATTCTTGTTATACAAACAAAAATATAATCTGATATCTTCTGTAATTATGAACTTGTTTATCTTACTATTATAGCGATGACGTAGTTAATTTATAAAAATTGTGAAACTTTCCGCCTTAGAAGATGATATCATTCACTAAATATATATGCTTCATTTGGTCTACGATATTTTTACATAGAAATGATAAAACTATGAGTCAGTTCTATTAATGACAAAAAGGACAGACATAATGTTTTCTCTGTTAACAAAAAAAAACGCCACCTTATCTTCTCTCACTCTCTTTTGTATCTTTTTATCTTGCATCATTTCGTTGCAATATATAAGAAGTATAAATTTTATTTTTTCATGTGTGTTACTCACAAGTTACTTTTCACATACAAAAACAAAATTCAAAATGTTTAACAAATATCTTCTTCTACTTGTTGGTCTACTGGTTACCATATATGTACCAACAATAAATGCTTATGGCTATTGTACATGTTTCTGTTGTGATGGTTCAGGTTGTGAACCAATGTTTGACGGTAGTATCGAAATTCCATCATGTGATGGTTCCGCTTGTCTTGAAGCTTGCAAGAAGACTTTTCCATTATCCTGCAATATTACAAGTACAGGTAAAGTTAAACCTGATTGCAAGGAAGTTAAAGTTATTAATGAAACAACAACAACAACACAAAAACCTACTCCTTCATCACCATGGCCAGGAACTACAACTATGATGACTACAACAACTAATGAAACTACATCTAACACTACCTTAACAACAACATCATCGTCTAACTCTTTATTCAAATACTATGCAACACGTCAATATATTCTTGAATTATTCGATATCATTCTATTAGAATTAAAAATCGATTGTTGACAAAAAAAAACACATTCATCAAAAATTTTTAACAAGATTAAAAATTTACAAATCACTCACAAAAATAAATATAATTTATATAATGTATAAGATTTCATTAGTAAGAAAATTGTATAACATAATATCGGACTTCTCTCAACAACTGAAACTACTGGAAATGTAACTACTACAACTGAGTCAACTTCAACAGCAACTACATCAGTTGGAAACACAACTGTTACAACCACTACTACGAGTACTACCCGCCAAAGTTCACCACCATCATCAACCTCACTTACGACAACACCTGTTTCAACAGCAAAAACCTCACCAACAGTACCTCCAAAAACTACTACTAAAAGTCATGGTGGTACTTCTATTCTTCGAGAAAGTGCATCATTTACTGTTTTATTTGTTACATCAATTCTTCTTATTATTAAAGTTATCCTTTAAATCAATCAATTAATCAACTTGCTTTTCTAACAGATTCTTTTATATTATTCGAAAAAAAAGACTATTCTTTTTTTTTTTTTATCTTTAAATAAATGTGTTTATAAACATGTGAATATTATTTTTCTTCTACTGCGTAGTAATATAAAGTAGAGAAAAAAAGAAAAAGAAAAAGAAAACTTGTGTTTAATTGTTGTTATCATTAACATGAAGTCTTGATATCTGAATCAACAAGTTATTCATATCAACTACTTAACTCGTTGATTTTATTCATTTCCAATCTACAAATCATGAACATTATCATATTGCTTGATCTAACTTTTTTTTAAAACAAAACCATAAAGAATAATATCATGTACAGTGTAGTCAAAGTAAAAAATTTGTTAAAAGATATATCTTTATTAGATTCATACCGCCAATAATAACTGACTTGAATGATCCACACAATGTAAATGTTCATATTGATCAACTATTGGATGTAACCTAATTCATCAAAGTAATGTAATTGTGAACAAATTTGAACAATGTTCATTTCAATGTGATATACCAACAAGTACAAAATGAATGCGAACCTGCACTTAACAATTATATTTGTTAGACTAACTATAATATATTCTTTATTAATATTATTTAATATTTTTTTTTTCTAAAGATTTTTTACTATTAGATTATGTTTTTCGACAATAATTAATTTATTACATGTTATATTCGGTATTCTCATTTGATAAATCCACATTAATGCTGTATTGTCATAAAAGACAAATGATGGCTGGAAATCTAATGAACCATGTACGTTATGATTATAAGGAAATTTGAAAAACGATATTTTTATTGGTTTTTCAATAAGTAATAAACATATTGTTTGAATATTTGCATCACCGATATGATAACGATAAAATGCATTTATTGATATTAATTGTTTTAAATATTTTTCTATAATTGAATTTTCATAAATTAAATTAAGACGAATAATAAAAAAATTATTATAAATAGCTAAACCATCATAACCATAATGTCCATTTAAATTTGTACATAAACTTTGTATACAACCACGTCGAGTTCGATTTTTCGGTAAAAATATTTGAAGATTTTCTTGAAGAAAATTTAAACCATTATTATCACGATATATTATTCTATATGCATAATCAAGTTGATCTTTATGAAATTGTTCAAATAAATCATATTGAGTAGAATTAATTAAATAAGAATCATCATCAAATCTCATAACATAATTACATTGATTTTGTAAATAATTATATTTAAACCAAATATCATATGACCAAAATTGACACATTGATGCATAACCAGAACGATTTGATGGAATTGTTATATTAAAATAAATTTCATAAAATTTTATTTTTAATTTTGATGAACAATATAATATTTGTTCCTTAATTTCATTTGTTAATGTTGGTTCATGAAATAAATATATCGTATAATAATGAATATTTTTAAAATATAAACGAAGAGAATTAAGCATATTTAATAATTTATTTAAACTAACAAGATTATCATTACGTATTAATGTTACAATACATCCTCGATAGGATTGTTTTTTTAATACTACTGAAGATTTTTCATTTGTATAATTCAATAATCTCATATAATAAAAAGATATGCATAACATAGCAGAAAGACAAATGGATAAGAACAAACGAATTCGTCGAGTCATATGTTTTTTTTTAATGTAAGTATAAAGGTGAAATCGTTTTATGTAAATAAAAACTTCAAATTCTTTGTTACTATCGATCGTTAGACATTTCTTGTCTCTAAGCAATGCACTTTACTGCCAAAAGTAAATAAACCGTTTATTTTAAATAGTCTTCTATCAAGATATACGAATACGATACAGAATGGACCATAAATAACATTATAATAAACAAAACTTATTGGTGCAGTCGCCTAAGCGACCGAACTGTGAATCTCACAAACTCTGACTGTTAGAAATTTATGATATATTGTTAGATGGGTTTAAATAATTTATTTGAAAAAAATGCTAAATAAATGAATAAAATAAAATTTTTATAGTATCGACATTTTACTAGACGACTAGTCAACAGATAGTTGTAGTCCCGCTAAAGTCATATGGAAAACCCAGTTTCGACTTCAGACTTTGAATGAACAAAGTACGTAATGAGATTAATTGATTATGCAAGATTTAGCTACTTTACGACGATGTAAGGATATGAATTAAATTCACTTTTACACATGACAAACCTTCGAATATTTCATATCTTAGGATAGGAGATAATAGAAAACCTAAAACTTGTACAATTAACTAATATCATTGCGAAGATTGTGTATGCAAAGTTGGAAGTCGAAACTCTCATGTGACCTAAAGGGATCACAACTTTTTGTTGAAAATTCCAGTAAAGTTTCTATACCTCAAGAATGAAGACTCAGAAAACCAAATCATTCTAGAATTCTCTATTATTGACTGGTACTCATCAAATAATCATTGTTTCGGTCAAAAAGCAATTTGACACCTGGAAAGCTTGTCTCTAGAGTTAAAGATATCATATAGTTTCGAATTTCATTCCTGTTAAAGTATTATTTCTTGATTTTCTACATCAGAGATAAAACAGGTCTGAGTAAGTCAGACAAACAGATCGACACTGCATTGACGATTTGTCGTTCTATTCCATTTGTGGCTAATGATATTTGACGTAATCAACTTTGAACAAAATTTCATTACACATCCTTTCTAAGACAATCAGAGCAAAAAAATGAATAAGGCACATTAGTCGGTTTCATCTTTGCCGCACATGTCTAATCTAGAGTATCTTCGAATGACAACGAAGATAGATTATCTCATAATATCCACACAAAAAAATATTTTTTTGTTTATTCATGGTCGAAAAATTACACGCATTAGTAAATCGAATAACTACACTTCATTGACGATGAAGGCTAGTCTTTTATAATTTCTCCATCGAAAAAAAAAACATTTTGTCATATACGTATACCTGTTTAAGATTACAACAATTAATTAATCTATTTAGTCTTTTTTTTTTATGATTCACAAAATCAAAATCAAACGTATTCTTTTTTTTCCATATAACAAAAAACAAACAACGTTCTCCACCGGTCACGTGAATGAAATAAATATAAATGAGAAAAGTTGAAAAAGAAAACAAAACAGGAGAGAAGTTTAGTAAATTATTCACAAGTAACAATATGTATATATATATTTGTTTTTTTTTTCTTCTATATTAATGTCCTTTGAGTCCTTTTATTCTTTCACTATCAATATTTATTTTCGATTCATTTAAATTCATCCGTCCATTATTTAAATAATAATTATCATCATTATCATCATGATTATTATCATCCGAATGATTGTCAACATTAATTTCATCCATTTCCATTGATGTTGGTAATATTCTATATAATTGTTTTCGTTGCCATTTTTTACTTGTATATAAAATAGATATAAATAAAATAAGTAATAAACATGAACCAATAAATAAATAAAATACATATGATAAAACAACATGTTTTACAGTATAAAATAAAAATGATGGAAATATAATTTCACTTATTGTTATTGTTATTAATATAAAACGTATAAGTGAATCATTTAAACTTAAATCACGTTCAATCCAAAATAAAATTAATGTCGGTAATGATGCTATTAATAAACCCATGAAAAAAAATATGAAATAAAACATACGTATTGATGGTATAGATGATTTTGTTGTTGAATTATCTTGAAATAAATGTGAAAAACTTAATGTTGAACATATTAAAAATAATAATATTAAACGTATAAGTATACAAAATTTAATTGATATTAAATGAAATTTATCTGATTGTTTTTTTGTTCGATTTGTTATACGTGTATTAAATAAAAAACAACCATAATCCATTAATATATCAATTAAACGTCCTAATAAAATACCAAATATAAATAAAAATTGCATTAATAAACATTGATAGGATTGAAATTTTAATTCACTACCAAATAAATATGTTAAATAAATACATGAACTTTCAATACCAGTCATTATAAAATAAAATATTGTAAGAAGTAAAACAAATTTAAGTGAAGAACGATCTGATAATAATGATATTGAATTATTTATTGTTCGATGAGAATTACCAAATAATAATGATAATGGATTTAAATTCATTGGTTTTGTTGAAGATGCATTTATACCTTCACCACGCATAGCTAATGTTGAATAAGATATACCCAGTAGAAAAAATAAAAATGCAATAAGTAAATAAATCAAATGAATTAATGTAATTGAACTAAAAAATGAATGAATTTTTGCAACAAAAAGATTTTTCGAGAGATCATCTGTATCTGATTCAGCCATTGAAGGTTTATTACGATGAGTTGTTGTTGATGTTGAAACTTGTGTACTTGTACTTGTTGTTGAAACTAATAAAAATAATATTAAAGTATTCATGAATAATCATCAAATTGATGAGAAGAAATGTAACAATATAGTTGATTTTAACTATTTTGTGAAACACGATCTAAAAGAAGTGTTGAAGTATAGGAGTGAAACTTTAGACTCCTTGCCACTTTGGCATGTAGACGGACAATTCGCTAAAGATAATAATTACACTTATTCAAGATTTAAATATAGAGAAATATACTTCGAAATACAGTCTATCTAATGGTATAAATAGCTTTGTTACAATCCTCAAAGAAATTGAAAAATCGGTTGCCTAAAAAGTGATATTTAACAAAATTAAATTGATCGAAAGACAAATCAAGTACATTTTCTGAATCTCCAAGTCGAATTCTAGATAATGATTAAAAAGTATTTTTTTTTAATTTGGACATATTAACTTCTGAGAAAAAAACGATATTTTTTTAGTGCTATTTGAACGAGTAGTTCAATAAAATGATCAATCTACCTACATTCGACCTCCAAACTTTGCAAGAATGTTCTTCTATCGAAATTAGCTCATTGAACTACGTAGAACGACGTATAAGACAGCAGAATTTCTCGAAAAAAAATGAGAGTAAGGATTCCCGTAAAAAAATGCTTTTCTGAGTCATATTCAATAATTTCTGAACGGAGAAATCCATTTCCGAGCAAGAAAGTCATATGTTCGCCTGTCATGCAAAAAATGTACATTGCGCTCATCCTTCCACAGATCGTGACAGATGTTATTAACATGCAATCAAATACTGCATATCAATAACGTCTCGTTATAGTAAATGAACTATTTTCTTATTCCATTTCCGGAGGATTAAGTAAAAGGATGATGAAGAAATATGTTACAAAATAGATAGAATTAATGAACTTTAAGATTGATTGTCTCAATCTCGTTACAAGTGAACACACTGTAGCTCTAAAAAGAATTAAATTTAATTCAGAGTTTCTTTCTCGGCTTATTCGTTCAAATCTCCATAATCATAATAGTAATCTACGGATATTATGACAAGAACAAATATACTTGAAAGTAGCTGATATTTAGATACTATCAAGATTTGGACCTAATTCTCTCTCTGAAATAAAATTAGTTACGTGTGGTAGGAAGGGTATTGCTCAAATTGTAACTCGTTGTTTGGGTTCACAAGTTTCAGTAAGATTAGAAAAGGATTCATGCTCCATAGACTTCTGCAGTCGAGTTATGACAGGTTTACTGAATTTTCCACCTAGTTTTAGGTATTTACTGAAAACTCAAATAAGAGTATTTCAGTCTGAAATTTTACTCACAAGTAGATTGAATAGAATATCCTGAAATTTTCAACCGACAAGATTTTTCCGATGTCAAGATATTGAATTTCCAAGTAAACTTGATTTATGTGACAAGCAACTATTTGTTAGAAATTCAATATCTAGACACAGAAACATTGTTTTCAATTGAAACATTCAGGATATTCTAAGAGTGATTAGATCTATCGATGGACTGCATTTCAGGTCGAAATATCATTACTTGAGTTTCCAGTAGATACGTAAAATATGTTCGAAAGTCTAGTAAAACTCGGCTCCAGAGATTCATACGCACGAACCCTTTTAGAACTTTTCTATTCTTATGAAGATCTTCTTGTAATTCTAATACGAACGCAAACGACGGGTTACAATTCAGGTAGTTCCCTCATTAGTCAATGACTAATAATCGGCAAAGACGATTAGATCCTTATAGCATATACCTATTGTCGTTGTGATTATTGTTGTTGCGGTAGTAGTAGTAGTAGTAGTTGTTGTTGTTGTTGGGATAGTTGTTGTTGTTGGGATAGTTGTGGCGGTAGTTGTACTCGTCGAAGGGGTAACAGTGGTATTTGCTGTAGTTACATTGGTTGTAATAGTTGATAAAATGGTAGTCATTATCGTTGTAGTTGTTGATATAACTGTAGTTGTTGTTGTAAAACTGCTTGCATTAATAGCAGCATTAATTAATTGTATTGAACAATTTAATTTTTGATCATTGACACAAATTTGATCGATTCGACACGAAATATTTGTTTTATCAAGTAAACATATTTGTAATGTTGAATTTTTACAAAATGATAGAACATTTTTACAATCATTTGATGGATTTTCATCGGTTTCATAACAAGAAAATGGATTATTTGTTATTGTTTCATTTTGATTTGTATTATTATAATTATAACAACAAAAAAATTTATTACATGGTGGTTTTACAGTTGATTGACCAGTTTCGGGTACTGGTTTAGCAACATTTGATTGTTTTAAATTGTCAGTTTCAACTACAACTGGTTTTAATATATGTTTTATTGTTGTACCCGTTGTTATCGAAGATGATTCACTTGTTGTATATGTCAAATTCGATAGGTTTAATGTGTTTGTCGTATTAAATAACATATCGTCAGCAGTTATCGGTGCTAGTGAAGCAAGACGATTAGCTATTTCATCTACAGCTTGGCGACGTGGTCGAAAAGGTTCTTAAAAGAATAAAAGGGAAACATTAGAAATTTTTAATAGTAAAGAATAAAACAGAACCAAAATGACGTACGTGTCATAACTGTTGTGAATGAAATTTCATTTTTATTTGAAATATTCGATGGAAAAAGCATTGACGTTGAAAGAATAGCACCAAAAGCAACTAATAAATGTAACCATCGAATAGAAGCTAATGATGATCGAGTCCATAGACGATTATAAAGTACATCAATACCTATAATCAATGAATTTATTTTTCTAAATTATTCAAATAATTTTCCATTTACCATTATAAGATATACCAAGACCAATACCAAGAATAAGTGAAGTTAAATAAAATGTAGCTAAATCAGTTATCAGTGGAAGAGAACAAACACCAAAACTGATTGCTAAACATGATAAACCAAGTAAACAACATACATTAAACCTATTGAAATACAAAAAAAAACAACAATTATTGTAGAATTTAAGATAAAAAAGAAAAACTGTTACCAAGCATAGAGATAAACACTTAAAAAACTTCCTATAAGAAATCCAATTGCTTTTATACCAATAAGCCATATAACTGCTGATAGATTAGCTGGCATACGTTGTGAAAGAAATAGAAATGTTGGGCCCAATAAACCAGTCAACATACCCTTTATTAAAAAAAAATATAATAGTAATGATTAAAAATATAACACCAACATATTTGTTATTTTTTCTATAATATCGAACATTTAACATTTTTGAAATACCTATGTTCCATAATGAAAGTATTTTTTTAAAGCGTGTACAACACTCCGTTAAAAATCTATAAGCATCACAAAGCGAAATTTATTGTAGCATTGCCGAAAAATGCATTTTTCTGTTTTTTTTTTATATTCATCACTTTTTAACGGAAGATCGTACGAGATGTGACAATTCCACATTTTATTCAAGATTTTGTACTTGTAAGAACTAATTTTCTCAGTCTTCTGGGATTTGAAAATTATTGTATTTGGTTTTCCAGCAATCTTCCTCTCATAGCTCATCTATGAAATTTCGGTAAGAAATGCATTTGATAGAGAACTTTATTGGTTACTGAAATTCCTATTTGAATTCGAGTTAAATGCTCGGTAACATAGAAAAAAATCAGAAATATATCGATCTTATAAATTTGATCAGTATTGTAGAAAATCACATACAATTGCTATGCAAGTTACTGCTAGAAGAATTGTTTTTGCTCGTGATAATTTTATAGGATCATCATATACTTTAATATTAAAGCGATTAACACCTAGTAGTATTGGACCAGAATTGCTTAATGAATTAGAATTATTTGGTTGATGAATTAATGTTCTTCGATCAAGGATTACTTCTTCTTCATCATTATCAACATCTTCATGCATCTATATGATGTGTAGATAATGAAATACGAGATTAAAAGACAAACGATTGTTCTTACCATCTTTAGTGAAGGGATTAGTTGAAATGAAAAGAAAAAAAAGCAGGAAGAAAAGAATTGATTGAGTTACACTTGTTTTATCGATGCTTTAATGTACACGATGCCAAATAGTCTTCATTTTGATTCATCGCGTAGCATAACCAGTAGAAAAAGACGATTTTCGATTGGTGATTCCTTTCGTTTTATTTTCTTTTTCACATTTTCAATAGAGATCGCTAGAGAACGTTTTTTTTGCTCTTTGCACATAAACCTTATTTCAAATTTTAGCATATTTTCAGAAAAAAAAAGCTTAGCTAAAAGATTTCTAGAATTATTGATATTTCTCTTATTCAACAATCTTGAATAACAATGAACGCAAATGAGATTTATCAGTATAGGAGACTAGCACAAATCCTACTTCATCTCTTGCAAAAATAGAATCAATATTTAGAATATAGTAAGATACGTTGTATTTTGATATAAAATGAATTATCTTCTATAATACCTTTAAACTGATGTATTGATCAATTCAATTACTTATCTATATAAATAGAAATTATTAGTATTGAGAACTTTTTAGGAAACAATGTATCAAGTAAATTTAAAATCAGTTTTCTGATCATATATTTTCATGTAATTTATTATAATACAACAAGCAGAATTAGTGCAAGAAAATATTTTTTTTCAAGGCAATATTAATGCGTTTATAGTTTGTTTTTTATTATTATTTCCATTTAATTAGCTGGTGCTATTGTTGTTCCATATGAACCACCGAGCCAAAAGGCAATTAAAAGTGATGCTACATAGCATAGAAAGTGAGAAACAACCATTAGTTTATATGAATATCCAGTTCCTGCGTCGAAATATGCTGCATATGAAGCCAATGTGAAGATAGTTCCAAGAAATAGAACTATGAAAGATAAAATTCGAATTGGTTTTGGTAACAATCGAATGATTAATAAGATAAGAACAATAATAGCAATCATTAATAAGATAAAGGCAATAATAGAAAGAGCAGCTGATGTTGTTGGACAACCGGTACAAAATAAACCATATATAACTGCCCATCTTGAAGTCGCCAATGATATAATACAAAATAATGCCGAAATAGCTGTGATTACTGTTGTGATAATAAGCAGAATCGTTTCATTGATTTGCATCATTGTAGTTTGCGTTTTTTTTTCTGTTACTTTTGCACACTACCGATAACAAACTAATTTCAATAAATATAATAATGGTAATAAGTTATTTTTCTATAAGAAAAAAAAAGAAGAAGAAAAAACTAGCTAGCAACAAATGGTAATAGTATTGTGTCGAAAAATTATTGACATGGAAACAGGCTACGATAAAACATGCAAAAGTTGTTGCAATTACGTGAATGAAAAAGAAAACGTGTTTTTAACCACTTCATATACGGTATTTATGAGTTATTGTCGACATCAACAATACGTTACATAGGCAACGAATACACATTATGAATGATACAACCTAATGAATAAAGAAAGTTGTCGGTTGAAGATTTTTTTTTATATTATTCTATTTCATATTGTTTAAATGCGAAGAGAAAAAGGAAGGAAAGGTAGATCTAGAAAAAGAAAACGTCGTTTTTCATTTTTGACGTAGAGTTATAGTGCCTTTCAAACACTTCCCGAGTAATAATCAGAGTAATTCATGACAATAATTAAAAAAGAAACATATTTCAAAATGACTCTTTTATTTACCACGTTTTAGTTCAACTTAGATAATATTAAAAAGTAAAATGGTTCTGTTTGTTCTACTTTTTTGTCTAAATCAAATAATAGCGAACTATTTATAAATCATTTTCTATTTATCGGTTGTTCTGTAAGCGCAAGACATCAGTTTCTTTGGATAGCACAAATTTAAATACGTCGCTACAAATAACTTTACAATGTTTTCATGTGAAACTTTTTATGTCTTTTCTTAAGTGCTAATAAACATATCCACTTGAAATTCATAGGTATTGCGTTTGAAAGTGAATCGATCGGTCATAAAGTACAAAAAAACTTAAATGATGTTTCCTTTTTAACTTTGAGAACGAAAAAAAATCCGAACACTTTAATTTATAATGAAAATAGTTTTGTAGCATTCATATCTTAGAAAATCAGTGTAAGTTTATATCGAAAATGTTCAGTTCTTC